TCAAGAAACAAGAACCTAAACACACACAAAATAAGTTTAAAAATTAAAAAAAAAAAAAAAAAAAAAAAAAGGAAAGCAAAGTACCAGCCCCTCACTTGTTTTTCCTTCATTAACACCACTCTAACCAACAAGAACAAGATCAAAATATAAAGCCAACTAACTCTGACACTGGTCATTATCAGTTTACTATAAAACATGCAAAAAACATGAGTGGGTGGGACCTCCAATCAGTCACACAGGCCCATTCAGATGTAAATAATGTCTCAGGGAATATTAATTTTGTGGTAAGAGTACAAGCATCCAAGTAAAGTCTTAATCCATTCCACTCAGTGAGGAAGGGGCTCCCTCTCATTTGTGTGGTCTCCTGCTCAACTGTGGAAACCAGGTTTTACAGTAATACCAGACAAGCAAGGGTAACTGCCAACAGTTACCTAAATCAGTCCCTGCCGCGAACCAGCTTCTGCAGCCCATCAGGGTCCACCTGCTGCCCTCTCTTACCTCCGAACAAAAGTAACCCAGAAAAGCATCTCTGATATAATACCAAAACAAACCAAAGAAAATGAGATTTGTAAGTGCTAAAGGGAATGCACATTTGAGAATGCTGCAAAGAGGAAAAACAGGTCAGAATCCTGTACCGCACCATCCTGTTTGGTTACAATCATACATCTTCACTGCCTAATTAAAAAACAAAATGAAAAAATTCTCTCTCCGCTCCTGCACACTACCCCATGTCCTACCCAACCCCACACAGAGGTGGTTTCATTTTGACTCTGTGGATGGTACCTAAGTGGTAGAAAACTCCAGGCATATAATGGCTGGGACGTGGAGGGTTCTAGTTAATTAAATTTTCTAGCTGGTTTAATTTCCCAAAAAGTAAACAATGAAATGACAACAAGTGAAGTTTTTTCATCGTCTGTCATCATCTTCAAGACCTTTCTAGGCCTCAGGTCCATAAATATTAAAAAAAAAAAAAAAAAGAAAGAAAAAGAAAATTCACTGTTGTGCTGTTCCTTCTCCTCCCTAAATTCTTGTCCTTGTTTTTAATCTTTAGTGGAAAAAAACATGCTACAAAGCAATTCTGTGACTTAATCACTGCTACAGTCAAAATTAACACCATTCACCTGATCCTCAGTAACATTCAAAATATTCAGACCAGTTATCTATTGTTCTAAATCTCTTTTGACCAGAGGAATGAATCAAAACATAATTATGAGATCAATGAATGCTGGCTAACCCAGCAATGAAGAAACCAGCTTATGGTAATCTCTTCTTTGTCCTATCCTGCTGTATAAAAAGTCTCTTAACACAGGGTGAAATCCTAAGGCCCTCTCTCCAATCACCCTTAAAGAACTAAGAATATTAACTCTGAACGCTACAGGGAGTCTTTTAAAATGACAATGGAAACCACATAGAGCACTATTTCCAATTCTGTGCCAAAGACCCATTCGCCTTACAAGTCCATTTAATCTGTATCCTGCCTGACATTAGGACCACACTTCCTAAGCCTACCAAGATGATGAAGAATGGCCTCTGACGCATGATGGAGAAGAGGCCCCAAGGATTTCATGATACTCCATTACACAAGAATGGGCAGACAGAACTACAGGTCTGGGTTCTTGTCCTGCTCAATTATAATAGTTAATTATTGTTTTAGAAGAGCAGTTCATGATGTGTTTAGCCAAATAAGACAATTGTCTTTCACATGGTTTTAAAATCCAGGCCAACTTTCCACAATGGCCACGTTATTCCAAGCATTCTTGTGGCAGATACTCCCTAAAGGACAATCTGCCTAGTAAAATACAGAGAGCACTTTAGATAAAGTATCAAAACTTTTAACCTGCCTGGAGGCAATCAGCACCTGAAGGCCACTCCCCAAGCTATTCCACTTCCTACAGAGATGAAGTGACTTTGAGTAGAATAGCCTACTGTGCACACAGCCTGTGTCCTCTTCCCACGAGACACACGATTCAATGACATTTCCTGGCCTCCCCTGGGTCAGGTTTGGTCATGTGGCTGAGTTCTGGCCAGGAGAACATGAACAGAAATAACGTGCTCTATGTCCAGGCCTGGGCACATAAAAACTTCCCATACCCTAACCTCCCTCTCCCCCAACGCTGACTTACGGCAGCTGAGCACAGCCACTTGCCAAGATGAAAGATTAAAGAACAATAAGATGGCCGGGCGCGGTGGCTCAAGCCTGTAATCCCAGCACTTTGGGAGGCCGAGGCGGGTGGATCACGAGGTCAAGAGATCGAGACCATCCTGGTCAACATGGTGAAACCCCGTCTCTACTAAAACTACAAGAAATTAGCTGGGCATGGTGGTACATGCCTGTAATCCCAGCTACTCAGGAGGCTGAGGCAGGAGAATTGCCTGAACCCAGGAGGCGGAGGTTGCAGTGAGCCGAGATCGCGCCATTGCACTCCAGCCTGGGTAACAAGAGCGAAACTCCGTCTCAAAAAAAAAAAAAAAGAACAATAAGATAAAAGCAACTTGGGTTCCTGAATCCGTGTCTAAAGGAAAACAGCCCACGGATCAGGGCAACCAGTGAGGAAGAGATACATTTCTATCATGTATGAGTCATTGCACATTTAAGGAGTTTTCTACAGCGGCTGACATTACCATAACTAAACAAAATACAGGGGCAACCTTAGATCAAAGTTAGGCTGATTTCGAACCTAATGTTCTAGAATTAGCAACTCATGCAAAAACAAGACGTGTGGGATGGAACCTCTAGATACGTGCAGATAAGTACTGTGGACACCATATTCGGTCACAATAAAGCAATCCATTCCAGCATGCAGTAAAAACCGTGCTAAGGAGCTGAGGTTGAAGAAGATGTTCTGAACTACTGATCCTTAATTTCCATAGTTAAATATTAGCTGGTATAGATCACCAAATATTTGTCAGGATTCTCCACACTTCCTTTGCCAAAGGTATCATAATAATTCATATTAAAATACAATATCAGCAAACCACATGAAATCCAACTCTGGATTGACTAGAACACTACTGTTGAAGTCATTTCACAGAGAATAGTAGGCAGTACAGTGGCCTGTACTGCCCAAGCTGAGTTTCTTTAGCTGTTTGTTTCCAATGGAAATTTAACATCGAGGCCAGGTGTGGTGGCTCACGCCAGTACTTCCAACACTTTGGGACGCCAAAGCAAGTGGATCACCCAAGGTCAGCAGTTCAAGACCAGCCTAGCCAACATGATGAAACCCATCTCTACTAAAAATATAAAAATTAGCCAGGTGTGGTGGTGGGTGCCTGTAGTTCCAGCTACTCGGGAGGCTGAGGCAGGAGAATCACTTGAATTCAGGAGGCGGAGATTGCAGTGAGCTGAGATGGCGCCACTGCACTCCAGTCTGGGTGACACAGCAAGACTCCATCTCAAAAAAAGAAAAAAATAAATTTAACATCAAGAAGATGCTGGCATTCCCCCAGGAACGTCACATGTGTAGTGCTTTCCTTTTTGCTGTGTCAAGACCCAAACTGGGTGCACCACCGCAGCAACATTTGCTTTTTCTGTTGGCATTCTTCTTCCATTCTTTTTCCTGGTTTTCTTGGTTTGACTTCAATGAATATCTTCACTGCAAACTACCTTCATTGCAGGGTAATTTAAGAGATGATATACAAATAAATTCTACCAAGGAAGGAAAATAAGTACTCATTAAGTACCTACTACACGTCAGGTCCTTTCACATACTTAATTTCATTTATTTTTTGTAACAATATGATCGATATATGCCATTATTTTCCATTTTCCAAATGAGAAAGTGGGGAAGATATAAAAAATAATGAAAACTCACTCAAGGCCACACACCAAAGTAAATCAGAACAAGATTCAAGTCCCATGACACCTGACTCCAAAACTCACTCTTTGCATTTCAAAATGCTACATTTGACCTATAACATATGCCATCCTTTATATAAGGGGACAAAAAAGGGATCACCGCTCAATTTTGATTTCCTTGAAATATTCATTTTAGAGAATCAGTGGTTTTCAAAATGTCCATCCTCTGACTTATAGTTTATTATATTTCTACAAAAGCAAAGCCTCCACGCTTCCTTCTGACATCAGAGCAGGTTACAAGTTGTAACTTAGAGACTTTAGAGGGTAAGGCCAGGGGAGGAAGAGGCCTGGCCCAAACGATCCAGGTTTAACGCTGCCTCCCCTGGAAAATCATCCTTTCTTTCTTCATAGTTTTGTGTTCCACAAAACTTATTTCAGAGCGTTTTTTTTCCCACCAATTCTTATGATTTGTAACACCCATTTTAAATGTGACAACATTGTTAAGCTCAGTGAAGCAGGCATATGAGAGGAGCTTGAAACACAAGAACAGCTGTGAGCCTTCTGAGCGTAGTAACAGGATTGTTCTACAATGTCTCAAATGGTAAAACGGTTCCATGCAGGATCAGAAAACCGTTTTTAACACGATTCTTTCCCACTTAAAGGACACAGTGGCAGTCCAGAACAATTTGTGTGTCGTATTACTGTAACTGCCATTGTATTTAAGTAAGTACCAATTTACCTAGCATTTTTTAAAGGGTAGGCAAGCTAGCTAACTCATCATCATCAATTCTCACCAGCAGTTTTTAACAGTATTAAACAAAAGCTGGTAACTAAGAATATCAAGATTCACATTCTTGAGTTGGTATGAGTTTTTAATACGAATCATAAGCCATCCTAAAATTAGGTGAATAACTTTATAATAACTTAATAAGAAACAGTTTTTCATGATAAAGGTCCACTCGGAAATACTCTTTCTTGTTCAAAAGAGAATTGTAACATCAAACATTTTCACCACAATTATTTTTATAGGTGACATTTGAGATGATAGAAATATACAAGCCAGGTTCTTTTGATCACAAAGGTCAAAACTTTCTCCTTGCTTGGAACCCCTGCTGTGCTATATCACATCAGAGTCCTTCCCATCCCCTGCTCGTGCCTCAGCCAAGCACCGCAGAACGGAAAAGCACGTTATTTTAAGCCTTACCTTCAGATAGGATCCATAGTATTTGGTTACGTATGGACTGTCACACTGACTCAGCACTGTGATTTCTTGTTGAATGTCCTCTATCTCATCTTCAGCCTCTTCCAGATCAATGATTTTTATGGCAACCACTTTCTGAGTCCGATTGTCAATGCCTTTGAACACTTCGCCAAAGGAGCCCTTCCCAATTTTCTCTAGTTTTGTAAAAAGCTCTTCTGGATCTGCCTTTAGGTTCTATAGAAAGAAGGAAAAAGAGGGAAAGTTTAGACCCTCATAGCACCACAACTTCTTTTTCATTTTATTTGTAATGTTATAGACCCCACCGTCTTCCGGGGACTCATCTATTTTCTGTGTCCAGGGTCAGGCTAGTGGTGAGCACAGCTTCACAGGTTCAGGGTGTAAGATTTCTAGGTCTCACCTACACGTGTGCATCAGACTGTGAAAGTCAGCAAGCGTGCGATAAGAACAATTACCCAGCGAGATGAAAAAACATGGAAAAGGCTCCAACTCTTGTATAATGAGAGTAAATTAAAATTGAAGCGCTTATTTGAACATGTTAGGATACACAGATTTATTGAAAAATAACTCTTGTCTAAGCAAAAAATTTACTTTTCTCCCCACCGAATCCCCAAAACTTCCTGATTTCAAATGGATTTTTACTAAAACGTTAACCAGCTAGATCATAGAATAGAAAAAGGTATACCGTAACTACCCATCTTCATGAATAGCACTGCCTTCACCAAAACGGTAACAATCTAACCAGATTCCAGAAAACAATAAGCAGCATGGTTTCTTTTGACACACAAATGCTGTACCCTGGAAATAGCTTCTAAAAGCTCTTAACCACCTGATTCGTTGCACATACTATATAAAATACATTTCCAAGACGGCCAGCTGTCAGAGCTCAAGCTCTCATCCTAGCAGCTATGCTGTTAGTGTCACGTAAACAGCCAAATTCTCGAAGGGAGCAGTAGCCTGTCATCCACAGGGCTTGTCTGTCAGGAAACTGAGGAGCAATCCTGACATTTAGCAAAGAAAGACAGGGACGCTGCACATCTCCCCACAAATAACTGCCCAGCCCAAAATGCCAATGGTAATCTGGCGACAAGCACCAGCCTGGAACCCCACAGAGCAAGAAAGGACTTGAGAGCTGCCATTGCTGCAGACACAAGTTCCCTCAGAAACAGTCCACAGGGAGAAGAAGATGCCAGACCAACTCTCAAAATCTATCCATCCTTTGAAGAAGCTGAAATACCAGGAAAACGAACAAGCGCGAGGAGAACAAGGAGGTAAATAAAGAGAACGAGAAGAAAGATGGCGCAGAAGAGTGGTATCCCCAGAGCAGTGCGCAAGCGCGTGGGACACACACACACACACACACACACACACACACACACACCCCACCCCACCCCACAGAACTTTACGGCAACTGTGGTGCATCATGAGTCAGGCAAGCCGCAGGGCCGTGCGGGGCCACCCAGTCACAGCTCTCCAAGGTGAGATGCACTGAGTTCTGAGCAGCCGCTCTCTAATGGTACTGCTGAAAGCCAGTCAGCTCATTTCCAGTTTGGAGACCTTACTGTGCTCCAGCATGTCCACCATGGCAACAACACACGCACTGTCGCAATGACACACGAGTGGACCGCCACAGTGACCTCCCGCACACCAGGCAGCAGAGCCCCTGCCCCACGCTTGCGGCTGCACATCAGATAACACGAAAGCTCACAAACCTGCCCCCCACAACTATCTTAGTAAAAAATGAACAAAGTAAGGCTGGCGTGCTGGACATAGACCCAACGGGAAACGCGTCCTGGGCTACCAAGCGAGGAGGACATGCCAGAGGCCGCACACTGAGCACCTGTCCCACACCGGAAGGTCATGGCCGGCGTAATCCGAGGTCTAAAGAGCAGCCGGGGATTACAAGGACTACAGTTTTAGCCATGAACCCCCTTGGCTCCTAAAAATCTAAACAAACGTCCATTGTGTTAAAAATGAACCTGTCTATTCAACTTCTTTTCTACTTAAAGTGCTGCACTAAACATATCAATTGGGTGATTAATAGAATTGCATGTAATTTTTTTCTTCCTGAACAATTGCTAGTGTTTGCAGTATTAGCCCGTTTCAAACGTCTTTAGACACAATCGTACTCAGGAGGAAGTCTGACTGTGTGTTTACAGGTTTTAAAAAACACAGTCCAAGACCCCTGGGGTTACCAAGATAGTCCATGACCCTCAGTCAGAGCCCAGTGTAATCTCCTCAAGTGAAGGCTGTGTTTGAAGCTAGTGAGCAACCCTGCAACAGCCTCCTCTTATTTTCAAGCCTGTCAATGCCCCAGCTGAGAATCATCAGTCACTGTTGGGAATGCCCCAGAATGCCCGGGTGGGTGCCGCCCATCTAACTTACCCTGCGTGTGGCCTCGAACCCGCACCTCCACCTCCTCTAACACAAGCTGCTAGGATGAGACACTTTGGAGGATGCGGAGGAAGCAGCACGCATCTACTTTTTTAGCTGCAATGAAACACACCCCATTTTCGGCAGCTAACAACCTTTCGTGCCTTCTCCCTTACCTTGCTCCCTCCAGGATGAGGTGGGGTGGTCCTCCTTTTATTCAAGGCCAATCCCCAAAGCTGGTCTCTGGGGTCCATCCTTCTCTCCTCCAGGATACGGCCTTGTCAATAACCCCCTTCTCAGCTCCCTCTTCATTCACCCTTCTCTGCTGGCTCTCTGCCCTTGGCAACATGCTCCAATGTCTCCCATTTAAAACAAACAAAAGCACCCTCCCTAACCCAAAGCCCTCCTCCTCCACTCTCTCCTTCCTCTGGAGTCCCCAGAAAGTCATCTGGACCTGCCCGGTCCTCCCCACCGCTGCAGCCTGGCTCCACTCCGGCTCCGGTCACAGGGCTGCAGTGTGGTGTCTGAGCCTAGTCAACCACGCCCTCCCTCTCCTCCAGGTAACTTTCCAGTCCCTTGGCATCCACAGCCCTGCTCCCACTGGTTTCTTCCAGTCCCCCTAGTTCCAGAAGGATCTTCATGCAGACTCCACCTTGACCCCACCTTGCCAGTCCTTACTCCAGGGCATCATCCCAAGTCCCAGCCTGGGCCTCTATTCCTTCTCCCCAGGGGTGCCAGACAGTGTCAGGGTCTGGGGCCCTTATTTCCCAAACCTGGTCAAGCAGAAATCACCTGGGACATCTAACATTCCTGCAGAAATATGTGGGAATTCAGAAGGGAACACCTAATCCGTGTTTTTAAAACACCCCAATGGATTCTGATCAATTGCCACCTTGAAGGAAAGGCTGTGTTAAAGGCTGGTGTACATGACAGCTTTCAAAGTGCTAGCTCAGGCCTGCCTTCTGAACCGGAACTCCTGAACCAGCTGCTTCCCAGGTATTGTCTCTTTCTACCCAGACATCTCAAGCTCAACATGTGTGCACAGAATTCGGTGCTTCCGCTGCTGGACTGTCCTCCCACAGTCACCCTCTGTCCTGTGCCATCTCTTTTGCACAGCTGCAAGCTGAGGAGTTGGGGACTGTGTCTCACACGCCTCTAAACCCCTGTGCCCAGGTATAATGAGTGGCATGGGACTGTGGTTGGTAAACATCCCAGGCAGTAGGAAAACCCCAGACTCACCCTGGCACGAACAGGACCCAGGTCAGATACCTCAAAGCCTGGAGGGAAGGGGGCAGCACTTCCTGCTGACAAGGGCGAGAACGGTGCTAAGAGCCTGCCTTGCTCACGTCAGAAGAGCCGGTGAGCCCTGTCATTCCTGGGAGTGGTGATTCTCAGACCCGGGTAAATCTCACACTCCCCTGGAAGGCTTGTTAGGCCACAGAGCTCCAGCCCACCAAGAGTTTCTGATGCAGTCAACCAGGCGGGCCTGAGAATTGGAATCCCAGGGTGAGGGAGATGCTGCTGGTCCAGGGACCACACCTCAAGAACCACCGCCCAGCACAGGTGGGGACAGGAAGCCAGGGAGCCCCAACAAGGGACTGGCCACTAGACATCACAGTGTTAGGACAGCTGATCACCCACTCCAGTAACTGTCCTGCCCCCGTACTAAGAAAACAGTGGCCTTTTCCTTTTTGAGAGTTCATTTAAAAAGTGGGCAATAAGAATTTATCCAAATCCTCACCATGTTGTTGAGGACCCTGTGGGAGGCTGTTAGAAAAATAACCACCCACAAATCTCACCTCTCTGGGCCCACACCCCATGAATGTGGCCCGGGGACTGCCGCCCAAGCCCTTGAACCTGGGCTAGTCTTGCTCTGTGTTCTGATGAATATAATCTAAGCAAGGCCGCTAGAGAGCTCACAGAGGCCCCTCCGCAGAGGCACGTGACCACGGAGCAGCAGAAGGCCGGCCATCGAAGATGTTGTGGTCAGAAAGACAAGGACATCCACCCACTTCCTGGATCCCAGCTGAGGCCCCAGGATGTGTCTCAAGTCATCCAAGGCCACATGGCCTCAACCATGACATTCACTGACTGCAGAGAGCCCAGAAAAGGCCAGCAAAACAGCTCAGCCAATCCACAGAATCACGAGAAATCGTCAGCCTGCTGTTTTGGTCACTCGGTTTTGGTTGGCTTGCTACTCATTAACAATAGGCACCAAATACAAAAACTGATGCTAGAAGCTGGGCACTGCCCCAGCAGAGGCCCTGACAGACCATGCCTGGCTCTAGGTCAGAACTGCTGCAGCCCATCTGCCACGAGATGCTCTGTCCCTGCCCTCTTTGCAAAGGAGTCTCTGCTGCCACCCCATTCTTCCTGTCCTGCCACTCTCGTTGAGCTGGGACTCCCTGATTCAGGAGCGGGCAGCCCGTCCACATCCAGCCCCAAAGCAGGCAGGGCACGCAGACCTTGAGCTGGATCCTGGGCCAGGAGGGAAGTGGGGAGAAGGCAGAGAGAGGAGTGTCTCCTGCATGTGTGAGCGGCATGAACCCTTGGGACTGGAAGGCAACCTTGTGGATTGTTACAATAATGGCACTAATAACCCGTCCCCTGTGTCTGCACCCCCAAGACTTTGCCCACTGCTCCGGTAATGACAGCCCACACCTGGAACTGCCTGGCCTATGGTTCCTATGCCAGTGTACCATGTCCAAGGTCAAGGTTCAAGGGGCCCCACAGCATTTGCTCTGCCTCTTGGAATGCCTCCATCAGCAGCATGTGAAGAGGCCTGTTCTGGCCACTGGAGAGGCCACATGGAAGAGACCAAGGCACTGGCTCAACACCCAGCC